TCTACCACTTGAGCCACAGCGCCACTTCCCGCTTTTTTTAATTTTTGTTTATATGGTGCTGAGGAATCGAACCCAGGGCCTCTACCACTGAGCCATCTTCCCAGCCCCTATACCTCCATTCTTAAAGTGACCACATTCAGTTCCAAAGAAATGTAGATTAGAGTAAGTATTATTATCCCCCTGTGGAAGAAACTGATAGTGATATTTAGTAGACTTCCTAGGAATGCCTAATTTGTTAAGTAGTGGAACCAAAATTTGAATATAATTGTGATTACATAAAAATTCATGAGCAAAATCATGAAAATAAAATGCTTCGCGTATTGCTGTGAATGAATTTACTCATTTAACTTCTCTAATGACTTGACTTTAAGATGAGTAAAATGAAGCACTGGAACCACATTTTGCCCAAAGGCACCAGGAGGTAGATAGGATAGCTAAAATTATGGATTGAAGGAGAAAAACTTTGCAGTCTTTGTTCCTCACCAGTATTCTGTATTGGTATTCTATTGAATTGAATTGAATTCTATTGTATTGAATTGCTATGTAGTGTTCTTCTGAGTTAATGACTGAAAATTTCCCATGAGGTCTGAGCAATTTTAGAAAATCCATTGGGGACCTTTTCTGGGAAAGTTTCAGAGAAGTTATTAGTGACACTTGATTATGCTTACTTACTATTGAAAATAGGTGGTATACAAATTAATGAGATTCTTACTTCCAGAAATGTGGAAGAAAGGATGATAGTTTCTCCAGAGTGGTTATAGGCTCTTATGGCAAGTGTCTTTTTGTCTCTCTTCTGTGTGAAGAATTATTTGAGCATTACTTTAGCCATAAGCCAAAAGTTGCAGGAAAGGAAAAGAAAAGCAATTTATCTTTTTTCTACAATAAATGAAAAGAGTAAAGAATATCTCCTATTAATTGAATTTCATGCTATGTAATGTGTATATGGAAGTAAGAAAAACACATAACACAGCTTTCAAGGGGGAAAAACAAGTCGTTTAAGGATACAGGTGGACCTGTTGCAACAATGAGAAGTACAAGTTGTCATGTCGAAAAACAAGCTTTACAACGTTGGTGGGGGGGGGTGGGGGGAGGATTGGGGGGGGTAAGGGGGAGGTAGGGAAGGGATGTAAAGGGTAAACAAAGGAGGAGGCTGCAATGCTTGATAAGAAATGTACGCATTATCCTGCCCATGTAATTGTAACCCCTCTGTACAGTATGTTCACAAAAAAAAAATAAAATTAAATTAATTAAAAAAAAAAGAGTGGAGTGAATTAACAGAGACACTAACCTTGAAGAAGAGATACTTCTAGATAGCTTGATGAAGGAATCAGGACAAATATGAATTTCTTTGTCTCATATAGATATTTACATTTTATTGTTCCTTTTTCTGTGTTAACCTAAATTCAGATATATAAATATCTCAAGTCACAAAGATGTGATTCTTCAAGTATCAACTATGGTTTTAAAATCAATAGAGTTGCTAATTTGTGTAAAAAGCAAAGAGGACAAAAGGTACGTGCCTCACCTCTTAGTCCAGACCTTCTGAATCTGAATCTTTAGGAGATTCTTAATTAGGAGCAGAATGTTTTTAAAAAGGTTTTAGGTGATTCTTCTGCAGGATGAAGATAAAAATTCTGCCCTAAGTCACTTGTCATTGAACTCAGCATTGGTTTCAGTCTAATAAGTTGCCATTTGATCTTCTACCCCATTCATTTACTAAATTACTGTCATCTATGAAGATTGATAGTAAATTTAATAGGTTAATCAAGACAAAAGTTTTACGCCTTTCATTCCTATTTTCTGGCTTGTTTAACATTTTGCAGATCGAAATTGAGCTATCAGCGAATGATTTTGACTCCTTTACAGTGAATTCCTGAGATATGCCTATTCAGCAGTGAGCAGTAAATGGTTCAACATGAGCTGTTCCTTATGTAAACATACAAAAGGCCTGCCCAGACTAAATCAATTTAAAAAAGGAAAACATTAAAGCTATGTTTCCTGTTATACACTTAAAGTCTTTGGTTCCTTATGATTACATTATTGACCAACTATTGCAGACTTTAGTTTGTCCTCCCACACCACCTGTTGAATGGTTTAAATAGTTTGAGAGAAGACAGAAGAGGGAAGCAATTATAACTTTAGCTCCTACATTTTAGCCAGTAAAGTAGTTTTTCATGTTCAATGTAAGTTAGTATGAGCCTCTCAATTCACTCTATCTTCTGATTTGAATTACTAAACAGGTTTTAAAGGCTGAAATAAAGAGACAGATGAGAGTTCATACAGCTTTTAGAAGTAATGTGAATTTGCAATCCTGATTTATGATAGCAAACATTTCTAGGAAGAATTTAATTAGGAAATGAAGGATTAATACAATGTTTTTATTGTAAATTATTTACATTGCATTTTAAAGCCAGCCATTGTTAATATTAGGCATCCTACCTCTTACTTATGATTCTTTTCCTTGGATTAAATTCCTAGCAAGATACCATTCTTTAGAATAATGTTTTCATTTCTGATGTTCTGAAACTATAGTGTATGAAGCAAAGTTCTTCAATAAAGCAGACTTTCAATTTTTGCTACTGATTTTCTAGTAAAATATCTAAGTTGCCTTGTACTCAGAGGATATAGTCTATAAGATATTAATCCACTAAAATATGTTGAACTTAACTTTATTACTTAACTGATGATTAACTTTTATAATTGTTCCTTTTTATTGGAGAAAATATATATTCTCCAGTTGTCAGGTTATATGTTCTATATTATCAAAGTTGTTAATTAGATTTTCAAATTATCTGTACTCTTTTAATTTGCTAAGTCCATTACTGAGAGGGATAGGTTAAAATTTCCTATGGGTGATGATAGATTCATTGTTTCTGTACAGCTATCAGGTTTAGTATTAAAAAAATATTTTGTACTAATTTTTTTTTTTAACAGTGTGGGGCTTGAACTTTGGGTCTGGGTGTTGTCCCTGAGCTCTTCAGCTCAAGGCTAGCACTCTACCACTTGAGCCACAGTGCCACTTCTTTAAAAAATTTTTTTGAAGTTAATTTTTCAAGTAAATTTGGAATTGTGTTCAGTGTTTAGGATGAAATTGAGGGCTTACCACATATGCTATGTACACACTCATACTACTGAGGTATATATGTACTCTAGTTCTGGAATTATCTTAACTTTCATTTGTACTGAATCATTATTCAATCTAGTCAAATAGTTGTTAACTAGAGTATCTTGATTATTATAATGTCAGCATTCTTTATGTATTCTTACTACATCTTTCTTTTGTTCAACTTTGTTTTTTTTCTTGCATCCTAATTTTTTTATTTATTTAAAAATTATATTTTCTGTGTCTGTTATTTTCCAGGTTCCTAGCTAGTAAATTCTGAAGTTAATCTTTTTTCTTCCTAACAATACTATTACCTTCTCTTTTAAGTTTATATACTTTATTATCAGTGTCTTGTTTTTACCCTTCTCTCAGTTTAGGCATTATTTTAATTATTTTTGATGAAGATCATATTGGTTAAAAATTTATCAATTTCTTACTGCTACTTCTGAGTATTCTTTGGCCTGTTTAGCTATGAGATTTTTTGGTATTTTTGTACAATTACAGAATAATTCTCAGACTTCTCTCTTCAAATAAGGCCTATTCCCCTAGTTTTTGTATTTTTGCCCTCAAGATCTAACTAGACATTTTAAAAACTTTCTCCCTTTACTCTCTCTGTATTTTAACATTAATGTGCAAGATTCCTTTGTTTCTTTTAATTGCATTTTGGATTCCTTCAAATCTTTTAATGTGCCATTACTTTAGTTGAGTTTAATCTGCTTGAGTTTTCAATTTAATTCTATTCTTATATTTGTAGTTCTGCATTGTTCTGTGTTCTTGTATCTTCATTTTTCCTATTTTGAGAATATAATTTTACTGTTTGAACAAAATTTTATATCTACTAGTGTACTATTTAAAAGTCTTGGAGGATGTATTCTTACTACTTTTGCTGTGTTTCACTCATCATACCTTAGTATGCTATGTGGGTAAGTTGTAAATTTTGTCTGTGAATGAATGTCCCATTTCACATGGAGCCTAATCTGGGAAAATCCTTCAAGTTGAAATGGAGCTCATTCCAAGAGTATTTGTTTTTACCTTAGCCATTGTCATCTCACAGGATTGTCAGATTTCCAGACTGAAATTTTGTTCTTATCAAATTTGAATCTCAATCCCTTAAGTTCTGTGCATTCATTCCCTTTTCTAACAATAGAGTGAAATCCAGAGGGAGAAGATTAGCATTGTGAAAGGATTTTATGGAAAAAAATAAAAACAAAACGCATAGCTTTGCTATCTCTCAGCATCTCTGAATTGTTTTCTCTTTGGTAGAAATGTTCATATAGAACCTGAAATCATCTCTACAATTAAAAAACATAGTAAAAGTATTTAGAATAAGAGTAAAGTTCCGGAATAATATAAGAAACCCTCATGTAGATTATACTTGATAAATTTTGAATCCCTTATAAATCATAATATATAATAAACTTTTAATGTCTGTCTCAAAGAGCTAATTAACCCACTTTATTAATTTGAGTAATCATTAATCTTGATTATCAACTTCATTGAATTGGAAATTTTAGATTCGTAAAGCACAACTCTGGATATATCTATGAGATATACATTTCTAGAGAGAGAGAATTCAAAGAAGACCTTCAAATGTGAACATCACTATCACATAGGTTGGAGAGAACACATTAGTGCAGACATTTTCTTTCTCTGTATCTGGAGCCATCTTGTGATCTGCTGCGTTCCCCCAAGTCTTCTCTACTGTAAAAAACTGAACCTCTGACATTGTGTGATCCAAAATAACTCCCTTTTTTTTTGCCCAGGCATTTGAAAACAGTAGTAATGTGCAGTAGACTAACATAATTTGAAATCGTTAGAAATGGTAGCAGTATTTACTAGTAAGCAAAATAAACATAGAGTGTTGATTTTTACCTGCTTATTTTAATTGCCTTTACAGGAGAGCTTTGAACTTAGGAATTCTTCGAGATCCTGGGTCAGAAATTGAAGATAGACAATACCAAATAGACCTGCAGTCCATCAATATTGGTACTGCTCAATGGGATCAGCTAAAACCAGAAAAAAAAAGTGCCACAGGGGGTGTGTTAACAGAGAATGAAAGGAATTCTCAAAATCCAGCCCTTGAATGGAATATGGCCAGCAGGTAGGAAATGATTGAGAAAATTTCAAACTCTAGTTTCATTGTAAGAACAATTGGTGATCTTTACATACCTAAGTGTTTTAGTATTCCTTCCATTTTTATTACAAAGATAAAATATATTTTGTAATTGTAATGGATGCTTTTGCTTGGAAACTTACTAGTCCTACCAGTGTTGCATTGTAATAATTACACATTTTGAATTGTGTCAGATTTTTTTGATGTTAATATTTGATGGAGAGATCCACTTCAGGTTAAAAAAATACATTTGTATTTTCACTTGAAACCTGTCATATTCGGGGTCAGGTTTTTATCATTTATTTTAGCTTTTCTGGTCTACTTAAAATTCAAAAAAGATAAAAGTAAAAAATACAATGTAAAGTTTTGTGCTTTCTCTTTCTCTTTAACCAAAGCAGCTATGTTAACAGAAAATATGTCTAAAAATTTGTCCTGAAAATGATTTGTAGAGAACAACTGCTATCTTACTCAAGAAATGGTTTACTAGAAAGAAAGTAATAGGAGTTCAAGATAATTTTATATTGCAAGATTATAGCTTTCTACTAACAAACCACTAAGGTGTAAAGTTCTGTGTAGAAGCATGCATAGCCATCCATTATAAATTTCAGGGTAGGCAAACATCTACTGAGCTACCAGTAGGTAATTTTCATCACAGCTGAGGAACATATATTTTCATCCTTAGTGGAGTGCCTGAGTAACACACCACAGCATTCTGTACATGGACCCTAATCTCTAGAAGTTGAATAATATCAACCAGCATGATGCCCCCTCAGTTATCTTTTTCCTTGTTTTCAAATTTAACAGGTATCATCTCATGAAACTTGAAAGAACAGTATGTCTCAAAAAGACACAAATTATATTATCAATAAAAAGATGAGCCTATTTTCTATGTTGTCCTAGTATTTATGGTCAATAAATGACCCATAGTTACCTAGCCTTAACTCAGTTATACCTCTCATATTCATTCTTTAATGTATTTAACAAACTGTATTGGATGCCTGACTTGTGTTTGTGTTTTAATAATTGAAATGAAATTCATGTTACATAAAATTAACTATTTTAGGTAATTTTTCAATGCCATTTAGTATTGCATAGTATTCGACAGCACTAATTCTATCCGGTTCCAAAACATTTTCCTCTTTTTTTTTTTTTTTTTGTCAGTCATGGGACTTGAACTCTGGGCATAGTGCTATCCCTCAGCTTTTCAGCTCAAGGCTAGTGCTCTACCACTTGATCAGGGCCACTTCTGGTTTCTGGCAGTTTATTGGAGATAAGAGTCTCACAGACTTTCCTGCCTGGGCTGGCTTTGGACCATGATCCTCAGATCTCAGCCTCCTGAGTGACTAGGATTACAGGCATGAGCCACCAGTGCCTGGATTTCCTCATGTTTAAAACCCCTTTTCTGTTCGGCAATTTCTCTTCATCATTCTTCTGTTCCTAGACTTTTGCCATCCACTAATGTACATTCTACTGTATATGTATCATAATATGTTTCTCCATTGGTGGGTATTTGGGCCATTTTCACCTTGCAGCTATTGTAATTTGAATTACCTGATTGAGTACATTTAAGTATAAGTAGATACCTAACAGTAAAATGGCAGGGCCATGGTAATTGTATGTTCAGCCTTTCTGAGGAACTACCAGATTGTTTTCCACAGAGCAGAACTGGAGAACTATTTGAATCCCCAACAGCAGTATTCAAAGGTTCTACTTACTTTGTCCACTTTTTCTCCCTCTTTATCTCTTCTCTTTCTCTCTTTCTGTTCTCTTTCTCTCTCTCTCTCTCTCTCTTCTCTCTCTTCTCTGTCTCTCTCTTCTCGTTAGACAAATGTTTTACTACATAAGCCTGTGTCCCAAACTTTTCTGTTATAGGTTATTGCTTTGTTTTTGCCGGGGTTAGCCTTGAACCTCATTCCTCCTACTTAAGCCTTCCACATAGCTGGAGTTCCAGGCCTTTATCAAAAGCCTGATGTCATTTTTATGTATAATTCACAATTGGTATTCCTATACCAAATATACATCATTAATTACAGCCACAAAGGAGATTTCCTATTGTTTTTAATTTTCCAGGGAGATCTCTGTTATTTTTTCCACCAAAAAACTGCTTCCTTGGCTTTTCAGGGTCCTCAGATGTACATTTTCTCAATCTATTTCCCTGGTTTACTAAGTGAGATCCTGAGGCTATTAAAAAACTCGGTCATTCAGTGCTTACAGATTTAGTTCTTTCTTTTTAATCTTGAACCATAGTCCATATAATCTCTAGTAAGATACTGGAAAAAACTTTATTTTTTTTGATTTGTGTTATTTCTTCAGTGTTTCTATTTATTTATTTTTGTTATATGGGATTTTGAACTTATTATCTTGTATTTGGTACCATCCCTTGAATTACATCCCATTCTTTTCTGCTTTAGTTATATTTTAGATAGGGTTTCGTGTTTTTGCCCTGCCCACCTCAGACCCAACTCCTGCTATTGTGCCTCTCAAAAGAAGCTATGTTACAAGATATAAACCACCACACATACCTTAGTGATTAAGATGATGGTCTTACAAAGTTCTTGCTCAGGTTGTCTTTGAACCAACCATACTTCTCCAGATCTCTGCCTCCTGAGATTTGGGCATGTGCCACAATGACCAGTCCTTATTCCTTTCTTTCTTTGATTCATCCTTGAAAACACTTGGCCTACACAATTTTTATGGGCTTTTGTTGTTGTTGTTTTTAATTTTACCATTACTTCAAATATTTCCCAAAGAGACCACTAGTGAAAGATTAGTGCTGGAAAACAAGAATAATAGTTTTGTAGTATTATTGGCTTGATTGTCTTTATTATTTCTATGGCTATTGATCTTTAATATTTTGTGTCATTGATTTGATTCATCACACAAATGAGGGAAATTATGTAGTACTGACAAGTACATTTTTCCATCCATGTTTTAGTTAATGTTTGTTCTTATTTGGTTCCTTGCCATCTTTTCCATTTTAAGGTATTGTTAATATATCATATGTTTTAGCACTCCCTTGTGAGAGCACATCAGATGTTATATGTTTCTCACATTGGTTATTTTATGGAATTTGAGCTATTAAGCCATAATTATGATGTCTCTCAGGATCTAAATCCTTCCTCTATAGTTACAGATTTTAATACTTCTTCCTGTTGCTCTCTACTTACCAGATCTTTTAATTCTTTAAAATTGACTTTCTTGAAATTCAATACTTCTGTGTCACAGAACCAGATGATCCAATTTGCTTTTTTGGCAGATACCATACAAAGCTCTGCCCATTGCAAATTTAACAAAAGACTTCAATGCTCTCTAGGGTACTCCTATTTAAAACAAAGCAAAACACAAAGGATCTAGAAATGCTGAAATTTTATCTCGGCTTTCTTGTGAAGTAACTTAGGCCAATTCTCTGATTTCAACTTTATCGTTTTATAATGTGAAGGAATAGGAATGATATATTTATAGAAAATATGAAGGTTTTGAAGGAAATGTGGAAGTAGAGCAAAAAATCAGAAGTATAATAAAATGCAAATGTGATACATTATTTTATAAAATGAAGGCTAAGGTTACAGATAGTGGTTTTTTTTAAAGATTTGTACCAGCACAAGCTATGGTTTCTCAACATTTTTTTCTATTATACTAAATAACTAGTCAAGGGTGAGACTGTGTTTTAAAAAAAACAAACAATTAGAGTCCAGAGTTTGTTCTGGTATCAGCTTTACCCTCCAGACCCAATTCTGGAACTTTAGCTCTCTGAATAGCTGTGAGCTTTGTTTCCTTATTGCTACTATGGAAGTAATAATAATGTTTGCATCCCATATAGGCTTATTTTAAGGAAGCCTGGTTAATAGAGTTAAAAACAAGCTCAGTGGTGAAAGGATGTTCATGAGCAACTGAAAAGATTGGAAAGCTGGAAGTTGTAAGATAGAAAGTCAGAAGAACTAAAAGTAGCAAGGTTATTCATGGTAACAGAAGACATGAAACTGTTTACAAGAGTGAAAAGAAAATAATTGTTGAAGAAAATTAAAAATATACTTTGAAAGAGCCTAGGATGATAATAATAATATGAAATTGCTTAATTATGTCTGAATTTCTGAAGAATTTTTGCTTTCATATGTTATGGAACTGACGTTCTAAGTATAAATATACAGATAGGAACTCTCAAAATAATAATGGCATTTTGTCATCCATATTTGTCATCCAAGTTTTATATAACAATGAAAATTATAATTTACAAAATGTAATGACTTAGGTTTTACTTTATCTTTCAGCATACGGCGACATCAAGAAAGAAGAGCTATTTTGACCCCCATTTTGACAGACTTCTCTGTTCGAATTACTGCAGCACCTGCCATTATTTTCACCAAAATCAGTTCTCCAGAAAATCTACATATTGAGGTTAGATTTATTTTGGGGATTTTCAGTTTCAGCCCACATGATGTCACATTACTAATCAATCATAACAATTAACCATACTTACTGAGTACTTGCTAGTACTGTTTATTATTGCTGTCTAGATAATAAATCAACTGATTCTCATAATAATCTCTCAGTTGCTCCTAGTACCCAAATCTCATAGGTAAGGAAACTAAGGCATAGAGAAGATAGTTAGTTGGCCAGATTTTCCCTAAAGCAGAGCCAGAGTTCAAACCCAGCTGGTCTGGTTCTAGCCTCTCTACTCAGTTTCTACAGCTTCTAATGAAAAAATTACAATGCTGACAGGTAACACATAGTTCTCACACTGACTACCTTAGATCTTGTTAGCATCCTTAGATTATGAGGAAACACGCATAAAAGGATTAAGTAACTTGACCTGTATAAATTAGTGGGTCCAACTTATACTTCTTAAAATAATAATAATGAGATTTACCATAATTTAAATGAAAGCAAATTATAAACTTTTTTCATAGTTACAGACCTTATCATGACAAATTTTGAAAAAATCACGTATAGTTTAAATACTTAAGTACAGCCCTGACTTTCAGCTGATCAACTTATATTTTTTAAATTTTCAGTGGATTAGCGGCTTGGAAAATGACACTACTTTAGGATTCTGGACAGTAGCATTGAGGTTCAATGTCAATTAGCCATGTTATCATGAAGGAAATTACTGATACACCATTGTAGACTGGGTTCCTAAGCCACAATGTTGGTAGGCTAGTTTTATTAAGTGCTAAATTTGTCATTGTTGCTTTTGAGACAGGATCTTACTTTACATTGACTGGACTTGAATTCACACTCTTTCTGCCTCCCCTCCCTATAATTCTTTCCGTAGAGTTCTATACCACCATGTTCAGCTCAAATGCACTCTTGACTTACAATATGTTACCAGGCACCAGTGGCTCACTCTCAGGAAACTGAGATCTCAGGATCATGGTTTAAAGCCAGCCCAGGCAGGAAAATCTCTGAAACCATTACCTCCAATAAACTACCAAAAAAAAGTCAGAAATGGAGCTGTGGCTCAAATGGTAGCATGTTAGCTTGAGCAAAAGAATCTCAGGGTCAGTATTCAGGCCAAGTTCAAGCCTCAACACTGTGCCCCCTCCCCCAAACATACACACAAATTGCTGTCTTTTTGTTGTTGTTGTTTGTTTGTTTGTTTTTAAACAGTGCTAGAGTTTAGAATTCAGAGTTCCACAGTTGATAGGCTCACACTACACCACTTGAATACCACCCCTGTCTGGGTTTTTTGGGAAGGAGGATTATTTATCAAATATGTGCTTTTGCCTAGAACAGGCTTTGGACCTTGGTTCTTCTACATCTATCTCCCAAGTATCTGGGATTACAAGTTGAGTCACATACCTGCTTGTTTGAGATAGGGTTTATTAACTTTTGGTCCAGGCTAGGCTTGAATCATTATCCTCAAGCTTCTCCCTTGAATATTTATTTTCTCATTGTTAAATAAAGGAGTTTTTATATATTAATGTGAGACAAACCTTACATACCCAATTCTCTAATTCTTTTTTTTTTTTGCACGTCCTGGGGCATGAACTCAAGAACTAAATACTGTCCTTGAATTTTCCAAGATAGAACTCTATAACCTGAGCCACAGCTCTACTTCTGACTTTTTGTTAGTTTATTGGAGATAAGAGTTTTACAGACTTTCTTCTGCCTGGGCTCCTGAAAACTCTTCCTTGGATTCTTAAGTACTTATCATGAAATTCTGAAACTATTATAAGAATAATATGGCAAAGTATAATAAAAATACCATTCCGGCTTAATTACCTCATCTTCTTTTTGAAGACATCATTAGAAAGTCTCTCATTCCCACTTTAAAGAGAATGCAGCAGGAGATCACAAAACTTGGTGACAAAGAATTCACAAAAATTAGGATATCAGCTTCAGTCTCTCTTAAATTCCTTCCTTCCCATTTGCCTAAACATGCCTTTATTGCCTCAGACATTTATCCCAGTTGGCCTCTTGATTCTTAAGGATCGAACTGATCAAAAAATTATTCTTAAATATATGCTATTAGCTACCCATTGTATCAATTACATCCATATCATTTAACCTACTACTAAAAGATCAATAATTTGCCATTTTATAAGATTTATGCCACAAATCAAGCAAAAAAATTCATCCACTTAGGAAATATAAAAATCATATTTTAAACAAATCTTTTGAACCAGAGCCTTTTTTTCATCAGCATCACTTGAAGAATAAAATAAAATCCCAACATAATAAGTGGACATAGGAAACTTGTAGAAGAAAATTCATTTAACCAAAGAAAAAAGGATAATTATTTCAGACATGCTGTCTTTTCTGACTCTGTTAAATTTGCTGTAAGCTATCTAGTTTGAGTTTGGAGCTGTTATAGTATCCTTAAATCCATTCCCTTGGAAGACACTAATGAGGAAAAGATCTGTTGGATGTTTCCAAGCTTTGAAAATTATCCACATGTGCCTCATAACAAGAGACAGGGCTTGTGCTTAGTAACTGAAGCTTCTGGATTTCGTTTTCTTTTGTTTTCCTTCTCTAAGTGGTTTTCTAATGATAAACATTCAAATGACTGAGTTGTCCAACACAGCACTAATTAAGTAGTGGACATCTGCCTAATACTGCCAAGATTTTAGCCGTTTGAGGAAGTGAAATTTTAGTTTAGCTGTCTTTGGCTTCAGCATTCTACTTTGTAATAAATCATTTTATTTTATCCAGTGGAGAGTAGTTATATGACTATTTACAAATGTAAATACATTTGTAAGTTCATTTACAATTGTTCTTTCCCACCTGTTATCTCTGGTTTACATCTGTCTGCCCTCAAGAGTAGGTTGCATTTCAAGACCAAACTTATTTTTGTAATAGTCCTTGGGAGGTGTTTAGCATACTATTTTACTTAGGAGATTCTTAGAAAGTATTTATTGATTTGAATTGATAAATGAGATTCTGCTACAGAACCTCACTCTGCTACAGGATCTCATAATTGTTATGTAATAAATAGTGATGGAAGTTTGAAGTATGAAAAGGCCAAGTGGATGTGAAAAGTTTCTGTTGTTAGTTACCTGATATAAGGCAATATGTCACATAGCAAATCTTTATAAATATTTAATAAATTAATCCATTAAACTATGTCTAGTGATGTGCTCACCATTTTTGTTTTTCTCCTTAAAGTATGAACTTGAGTACCAGTAGACTTTGGAAGTAGAAATAGTCAAATAAGTAAGAGTGATAAATTACTATCTGAAGGCTATCATATTTCTTTATCTGTATTCAATCTTTTTCTTTCCTTCAGGAGATTTTAGTGTGTGGCCATTCCTTGGAAGTAAATATAACCACAAATCTGGACTTCTTCCTAAGTGTGGCTCAAGTTCAACTCTTACATCAGTTAATGGTAGCAAATATGACTGGATTAGAACCATCAAACAAGGCCACAGAGGTAACAATTACCTGATTTTTATTAGTATTATTGAATTTGTGCCAATGTTGCAATCAGAAAAAATATAATTAAACTAAATGTCTTCCCCCAATTATTCTTTATATAATTCTATTCAAAATATAGTCATATATCATTTTGGGTTGATGTTCTATGTTTTTGAAATTTGTTTAGTCTGTTCTCTTATTATTTATCATGCAACTTCACAAAATTGCTGTGGACTGACCTCAGAAAGGCCTATGTTAAGACAAGGTTTTATTACCCTGCTGAAAGTCCTAAAATGTGATGCAAAAAACCTGTTATAGTTTTCATTTTCTCAACTACATGATTAGATAGGGCCTCTTTTGGAAATGAACTTTGTAAGAGGATGGTGGGACTATTTTAATAAGTAATTTGTAAAGTGTTCATTTCCCATGCTCAGTGAAGAATGAACATAATCATAAAAGTTGGATGCATGCCTAGAATTTTAATTTTGATCCAGTGGTAATGATAGAACCTTTATAAGCCACAAAGCATGTCAGTATAAAACAAAGAATGCTGCTTGTTAGATGCTCCTTGCATTGTATTTTCTTTGTTTCCATGCTTCTTATATCACAGTTTTACTTAGAATAAATCTTCAAAAGAACCTATGTGAAGAAACTATTATCTGTGAAAAAGGTATTGCTTTTATTCTTGCTATGAAATATACAGAAGCATTTTTATAAAAATGCTTATAAAAATATACAGAAGCATTTTTATAAAAATGCTTATAAAAAAATACAGAAGAATAGGTATTTACTGACCTCCACTTGACATCAGGGAGTGTTACATGTATGCTAAGTCCCATGTCTTTAGGCATATAATATCCTAGTGAAGTGTGCATGGGCATTATCCCCATTTTACAGATGAGGCTTTGGGCCATAGAGATTAAGTGACCTGTGTGAAGTCACACATACATATTTAGCTGAAATGTAAGGTACCTGAGAATTTAGAATTTAGAGGGTTTTTTTTCTTTTTTCATCATAGTTTTATTAGCATTGATCAGTACTACAGGTTTTATTTTGTATGCAGGCATTGTTCCTTGTTGATGCTCCTCCTGCATCCCTTTCTTTCATTCCTTCTTCCCTCTTTGCCAAGCCAACAAGGGTCATTGTTCTATTTTCATACACACTCATAAAGTCTTTTGACTTTATGACCCTCGTCCACTCTCTGTTTACCCTAACCTCTCCCACTAGCTTCACTTCTGAAGATAGGACCTGTAGTACATTCCTGACATTCATTTTTTATGTATATTAATTTTTCAAAGGGTCACAGTGTTAATTAGATTGATCTTCTGCTTTACTCTTATTTTCCCCATACTCACTACCCTTCTATTATTCAATAGCTTTCAGTGAGTTGGTTTTTATTCACAAATATAACTTATTTTGGTTTTGTTCATCCTTTTACATTTTCCATTGATGTCATAAATTTAGAATTTTCAAGTCAGTTCCTTTCTGTTCTGCCACCAATCATGTACTGTCACTACTATATTTTTCTTTCAACATTTTTTTGTTTCTAAAAGATTTAAGTATTATGAAGCTTTTAATTTTCATAATGAAAGTCTCTAACCATTTACCCCTTATGACTTCTACTTATTCAGTGTCTATTTTTAGAAGATTATAAAGCTCTATATATCATCTAAATGTTTAGTTTTCCAGTATATTTCATTTTTTTCTTTTAGAAATAACATTTTATTATGTTTATTTTTACCTGACAAAAATAGGCCCTGAGGTCAAAACTTTGTACTCAGGGAAAAAAAGCCAAAAAGAAGTAAATATATCTTTCAGTAAGTTTCAAGAAAACATTATAATGATGAGAATGAATAAAGCTAAAGAGTGCTAATTTATGTAACTATTGATCATTTTTAAATGGTAAGAAAATCAGATAAATGAACAAAATCTTAGGAGTTTTTCATTTTATTCCAATTACAGTCACATAACGATGATTGGTATATAGTTTTGAACTTTTGTGAGGTTTAGACTGAAAAGATGAAAAACAAAAAATGTCTATAAAATATGAATACTAAACATTAACTTGAAATGATTAATTTTTATTGAAGTATAATACATGAATTTTAATAATCAAATATTGTTTGATGACATATATTAAAGTAGCTTCCTCTCCTGATACTCCCTTCTCATCCTTCTCTATGTTAAGCCCTTTTACCTCTATAAGCTATTTTCTTCTGATATTTATACCTATGTTTCTGAATAACTTGAATCAACTGGCGTCTCTTAACTCATTTGCTTTTGAACACAGATGAGGGTTCCATCTCTTTTGTGATTCCTTTTTATGCCTCCATCTTTCTAATATTCTTGCATATTATTTTTCCATTAACAGTACAGATTGTTTTCATTTTAAAGACTTTGTAAATACTGCTCATTTCTAAGTGAAATAATATAATAGAATTATAGTTCTGTCTTGACTACATTTATTTACTTCATTTCTATTTTTATTTTTTGCACCAATCCTGAGGCTTGAACTCAATACTTGGGCACTGTCCCTGAGCTTCTTTTGCTCAAGGGTTATGCTCTATCATGTGAGCCAGAGCTCTACTTTTGGCTTTTTTTGGTAGTTTAGAAGAGATAAGAGTCTCACAGACTTTCTTGCACAGACTGACTTTGAACTGTGATCTTCAGATCTCAGCCTCCTGAGTAAGATTACAGATGTAAGCCACTAGTGCCCAATTTTTTTACTTTCCATCCCATACCCCACTCACACCAGTGGATCTATATCATGTTTGTCAACTTGCATATTTTTGTCAGGTAAAAATTAACATAATAAAATGTCGTTTCTAAAAGAAAAAAATGAAGTATACTGGAAAAGTAAACATTTAGAAGACATTTTCCTAAAGTTCTTGTTCTGCATTCTCTAGTTTCTCTAGTTCTCTAGTTCTGCTATCCTACTGCCACCTTAGCACAAATGAGCCAGGCGAAATTAGATTAGGATTTTTGAAGTTGATGTAAAAGAAAAGTATGGAGACAAATATATAAAGGAAATAATGTGTTCTATGAATATAAACTCACAAATTTGTCAGTATCTGTTCCATCATACTAAAATATTAAACATTTTGAGTTACTATAGAAAAGCAGTATAATAGCAAGGAAAATATTGAAATAGAATTTTTATGCCTTGCTATATATTTTTAATGCTTATTATAGAACAAAATAGCACAGTAGACATTTTTATTGTGTATTATGATTGAATACATGTATAACAAGTGATAGTAGATGTTATTTTGGTTGTAATTTTACTTACTGTCTTAACCTGGAAATACTGTTTTGAAATTACTTAAAAGATGAATTTTTTCTTTTAGTACCAATTACTAATTTCTTGCAGATATAATAGACCTGGACAATTGCTAAGAGTAATTTAAAATAAAAGCTTAGGGGTAATTATAATTATTTCTTTGTATAAACAACAGGTTTTTAATCTATGTAATTTTGGTGGAGTTTCCCATTACAAATAGCCATGTCCTATAGACATGCCCAATTATATTTCATCTTCCAGACCCAGTTATTGAATGAGATGTGTTGATAGTGAGATATAAGTGAAGTAACAGAGTTGTTGCATCAACTGTTACTTTAGGCCATGTGAGAAAAGTAATTATAAATTAGTTTGAGCTATTAATATTTGGCTTCCTTTTACATAAGACCAACATTATTCAAAAAGTCTGAGGTGATAAAACGCTGGGAAATACTAAGCACATTGTAGAATTAATCCTGAGTAAATGAATTAATAAATGGATTCTTCAGCTTATAAGAATTTCTAGTTTATTCTTGGAAATAGAAAAGATATATACAACATAAACATTAAAATAAATTTTTAATGATCAACAATTGAGTGCATGTTTTTTATGGATTTTTTTTCTTTTCTCTGTGTGGTAGACCTGGGGCTTGATTATAAGGCTCATGCACTGTCCCTGTGTTTTTCTCAAGGCTAGTGCTCTACTACTTGAGCCACAGCTCCACTTCTGACTTTTTGAATGTCCACTGGACATTCTTTCCTGGGCTGGCTAAGAACCACAATCCTCAGATCTCAGCATCCTGATTAGCTAGGATTATAGCTGTGAACCAGTAGAGTCCAACTTACATATATTTTTAATGGAGATGAGTTTTATGTATTTCATTTATATGTTTTATATAAGTCATCGTTGAAAGAGAGGGTGTGAAGCATGTGTTGTGCTTAGAGAATAACTTATTTGCACTTTGAAGTTCACATTCATTCATATAAAGCTATACCTCTCACATTTTGATAGTACTCATGTAGTCATGTAGCCTTCAAAGATAGATATCATAGTTATATTCTCCCAATGTAAGATAAATGAGTACCTATTGTCTGATTAGTTCAGTAAGGAACGGAAATATCTGCACTGTGTAGTATTGTCACCTGGTATCTCTAGATGTTACAGTTACTGAATCTTATTTTCTAATACAGTGAACACAGTATTAAAATAGATGGAGAGGGCTCAGTTTGCCCTGGATTATGTTTACTTGGCTTTGGTAATTATTGTTATTCCTGAATTAGCAAGTAATTATCTTATTAAACCTACTTACAGAAGTGGTATAAGGAGGAACACATGCTCATTTTCAAATCAGTGTTTTAAAATAAATAAAACTTTTATAGTAAAATATAAACCATGTTTTTAGAGAGCAAAGAAGACTAGAACCACATCATTGGTGATGTGTCGTGGGTGTTCTTTGATCCACATACTACATATCCTGAAGAAGAATGAAGACCCTAATTGAGCATTCCTTCCGGTGCCTTTTCCCCTTTCTCCTCCTCCAGTTAACCACTTAACCACTTGGTTTTAGGTACTTCCTTAGCTCTTCCTTCTATACAGCCCCAGCATTTCTATACTTGATAACCTGTCCAATATATGCTTGCTACTTGTTTCTGTACTCTCTTTGATTAGTAAAATTGTACTTTTTAGGAAAAAAAATCTTATTTTCAAAAAGGTTACTTAGCTGTCACAAAATAGCACT